TTTATGAACTTGTTAATGTCAAATGAATGAAGGTTATGTCTCGTAGGTAGGTAAAGTCCTGAGTAATATACTTGTATAATGAACCTTAATAGTTTATAAATGGTCATATTCCCTTACTGAGAGATTAGCGCTCACCCCACGAAATGTTTTAAAATGTTTTGCAGGTAAGGATTAAGGCATGAAGCTGGGAGAGGATTCCGAGGGATGTTTTAATGATGACTATTGAATGGTTTTGCTAGTATTTAGTGTAGTAATTATGTTCATATTTCATAATGTAGTAAATATGTGTATGTTCTATAATGGAGTAAATATGTTTGTGTTAATAAAGGAAATCAAATTGCTAGTAAAATTTGTAAAAGTGTGTATGTTCTAGTAATTATTACTATGGATTTCATAATTTTCTCCAAGAAAGGAAACTATATTATTTGACTTGTACAATGAACTTATTATAGTTTAGAAATTTAAAAAAAAAAAAAAACGGTTTTTAAACTACAAGTTGATTCTTTAAATAGGATTTTAAAAATAAACTTCTTTCCCAGGTCTGCGTTTTCTAGGTTCTCAATGGCCAAGAGATACCTAGGAAATACCTAGCTAGGGAGGGGTTTTACAGTATTGAAATAAAAGAGTTGGGGGTTATGGTTTGTTGAGAATGTCAAGGTAAAGAAAGGAATGATTGTAATATCCATGCTTCCTAAATTTGATTCTATTTGTAAAAAAAAAAAAAAAAAAAAAATGAATGAATCAAGGAAGTATGGAAAGTGTGCAAAGACAAATGTGGTTGGGAAGAGAGATGCAACAAAGGTTGGGAAATTTTAGAGAGAATGTGTTATGCTTTGAGCGATTATGTTTCTAATAAGTAAGATTAATCCTCTTATTTTGTTTGATTCCTTTCCATTCTTTCATAACCCAATACCATAGCCTAAACATTACAAGCTAAATTAAGTCCTAATGATCTAAAGTTGTGTGATTGTTCTAAATTAGTGGAGACTGGTTTGAAAGGTAGGCCTATGGAGTTTGTATTACAAAATTTATTCATATTTCATAATTTATTGGGATCAAATTTTTGTCTACGGATGCTGCACATGGAATTATTTCAAGTGTTATGATTTACATAATGTGGAATGATGGATGATTAGAGAGTTGAGAATGAAGGTGAGATTGATGTTTAGGATGTTCTCGGATTTGAGGTGATGTTTAGGATGTTCCCGGATTTGAGGTGATGTTTAGTTAACTCGTCCACAAGGGGGACCAAGGGGTTTAAAGGTTTATTGCACACAATAAATGCAATCGTGTCAACCTATGGAATTGTGATGAGTGCTTGAAAGTGCACTCACACTTAGTAATTTTAAGGGTATTTTCTGTGGGAATTAGGTTTAACTGGTTAATTTTACTTAATTTCTTTATCTCTCTTGTTTTTTTAGAATCATAGGTATTTTTTTTTGAATTTTCAGGTATTTAGTGTTGAAAAATGAGGATTTTGAGCATGCACGTTGAAGAGTAAAGAATTAGAATCATGTAGGAACAAACGGTTAGAGAATCGGAGCTCAAACAAAGAAGTTATAAATTTTTGAAGATTGTCCATAGTGTAAAAGGTGGATGTCTGGGTGATGCTAACATTAACCTTGTTAAGTACATCATGCTAGCATCGATGACACCTAAACTACAGAGATAGTTTGAAAACTTGGATCCATCTACCATAATTTTTCGCCTTTGTCATAGCAAAAGGTACAAGGCGTCGAAGCAACTATTCAACTGCAAGATGGAGAAGGTGCAAAAGTTGGCCCTCATGTACGTAAGACAACCAAGTACATTGAGATGCTAAACCTTTTGGGCGTTTGTTTGGATGATGACTGATAATCCTATTTTTCATAGTGTTTTTGCATTGAATTTTAATAGAATTTATGATACTTCTCATGCATTTTGGGCTATAACGGATAGTAATTCCTTTTTTCACTGTAGTCCTGAAAGATATTCGAAGCAAAAGTCGCGGTTTTAAGCTTATCAACTCCCAAAAACATCAATAATTAGAATTTTGAGAAGTTTTGAGGCTAATTAAGTGCTCTTGAAGACTTGATCAGAATGAATTTAATACCCCTATTTTCATTAAATTTTATTTTGTGATTGGAGGGGGGTAAAGTGCAAGAATTCAGAAGTTTTGGAGAGTAGAAACAAGTGAGGGCCAAAGTGGAATTTGCTAGATTATTTTGATGAACAGTTAGAAAGAAGAGAAAGAAAAGAGAGGGAAAACACTTCTAATCAGCCTTTAACGCTTCTAACACTTGCCAGAAGAACAGAAGAACAGAAAGAGAGAGGAAAGAAAAGAGAAAAAATGGAGAAGAGAAAGAGAGGAAGAAGAAAAAAAAAAGGAAGAAGAGAGAGGAGAGAGAGGAGTAAAGAGCGATGAAGGTGGCTCGAGAAGTGGCGCGCGGCGGTCGGGAAAGTAACGGAGGAATGATCAAATAAAGGTGAGTCAAGTTTAATATTTCCCTCTTTGGTGATTATGGGTTCTATTGATTGTGTTGTTGTGATTAAGTATAATGACATGAGATTGAACTGAAATAGGAAGATTGATCTCAATAATTTTATGGGTAGAACATAAATGTCGTCCTAACAAAAATGGGTTAAAGACAAGATTTTGATATAAGTTTATTGTGTAAATTCTAACCGTCTAGAATTCCAAAAATGGTTTACATGGTTTGGGTCTTTTTATTGAGCTGAATTTTAGTATCTTGTTATAGACTTCTTCAAGAGTGTTTAGAAATCTATTTCACTCAAAAACTGAAGGATTGGATTTTATATGGAGTTTTGAAGTTTGATCTGCAATTCTAGAATTTGGGTTTCCTGCAGAACAAGTATATTTAGTAAATAATTTAGCACTCTATCTTATACAAATTGGATGGCTTTAAATTCTGGTGAATCCTATATGTGTCTAGTTTTTATTCTGGAGAGTTTCGTGAGGTTTCGATTAAGGGTTAATTTATATGAATTTTACAATCAGTATACTCAACTCTGGAAACTGTTGGCAGTTTTGAACAGGTTGAAAAAAAATCCTGTTTCAAATAGTTTTTGGTTCTAGAATGACTTAAGAAAATCATAGGAACAACATAGTATGTCTAGAATGCCCCTTAAATTTGGCTTAAATGATGAGTGGAGTTTTTTATGAAAAAAATCTGAGAGCGACTAGTGTTCGATTATGAGACAGTTTTGTTAAAGAGGAAGTTAGTTAACCTTTTGGTATGTGAGATGTCCAATAAGTTTAATATTGATGTGTTACCATAGGGAGAACTTTATAGAGAGTTTATTGGATCTTGGATAAGGGGAACAGTGGTGGCATTGTTAGAGGGTTCTAAACCGTTCTTAGGCTTAAGGGAGGAACTTTAAAAGGTGAGTGGGAAAATCTAAAACCCTAGTTTTTATTTTCAGTAAAAGTTATGACAATCTCTCTATCAAGCATGATTATGTTTTTGTACATAATCTTTTGATTCTCTATGGAAATGAGTGATGATATGAATTATCGTGGAAATTGTTGATTGACATGAGAAGATTGAAGTTTTGATGAGTTTTGGGCAAGATTGGATGATTGTGCGAAAATTAGGATAAAATTGTCATTATGAATCATGTTTGGAAACTTGTATTTTCCCCCATGTTGCTATGATATTTAGGTTACATACGTGTTTCTATTATGAGAAATGACATGAGATTGGTGATAATTAATGTTTGTATAGCATGTGTCTGATAGATTTATTTGCTCTACCCAAACATGCAAGTCCGTTAGGTTGAGTTTACATATACGACCTGAATGATGTGAATCCCATTCGTTGGGTCTAATATATTTAATTGTTCTACCCATACGTTGTGAGTTCTGTTGGTATGAGTTTATATTACCCTGAATGATGCGAATCTCATTGGGTCTAACATATTTAATTGCTCTACCGAATGATGCGAGTTTCGTTGGTATAAGTTTACATATTACGGCCTGAACAATGCAAATTATGTTGGGTCTAACATATTTAATTGCTCTGCCCGAACGATGCGAATTCCGTTAGGTATGAAGTTTACATATTGGCCCATATGATGCAAGTTCCACTGGGTTTGACAGTTTTAGTGCCAACTGAGCAATGCGAATTCCGCTTGCCAAGATGATTTCTTTCCAGTTTTATTAGAAATGAGATGAGTTGCAAAATGTGTACGTTCATTTTGCCCTAAGTGTTTAATTGACCTATTAAGGTGAGTTTTTTTTTTTTTTTTTTTTTTTTTTTTTACAATTGATTGTTAATTGTGAATTTTTTTTAATAATGAGTTTGGTTTATTTGGCAAGTGTTTGCACAAGAGATGGAAAACTTTGGCTGTAATTGTTGATTTTAAACATGTTTACAACGTGTTTTATGATGAGAGGTTTGAGAACATATTTGAAAGCTTGCATTTTCATTCTTACATGACTTGAGATGTTATGAGGTCATTATGAACTTGTTGGAAATGATGAAATGCCCAGAATCTATGAAAAATATATGTTGATAGGAAGTTGAGTTGAGAATAATTTATGGCAATGTTTATTTCTAATAATGTATTAAGTGCTTTATAATTGTTTTCATTGTAAAGCACGACATGATTTATTATTCCCTTGAAAGTGTGGTTGGTCAATTTTAGAAAAGAATGTGATTATGCTACATGATTTATGTTGCCCCAATTTGCTTGATATTTGTTGAATTATATATTTTGCAATGAGCTTCACTCTGATTGGGCAAGTGGTTTGAATAAGGAAAAAATAAAACGAGTTGCTAAGGTTGAGAATGGTTTGGGTGAAGTACATGTTTATCCATTTTTATTACATATTGGAATGTCTCCAATATTTGCAAATGTTTATAGAAATGTTATTTCTAGCGAAGCATAAATGTCTACTGCATACCATCATTGGTTTTTAGGAATGTGTTTTACAAAAATACCCACTCACTGAGTATTTCAACTCACTTTTTTCAATTGTTTTTCCCCTTACCAGATCATCAGGAATATTGTGCTGAGAGGATCTCACTCAAGGTTGGGCCACTCGATACCATTTCATTTTGGGTGTGACATGACATGTTTTATTTACATTGTAGAATTAATGTTTTATGTCATATAATATTCTTGTGTAGTGTTTACAAATTATATGGAAAACCTGATGCCAAATAAATTTTGTATGTCTTTTTATGATGAAAGGAAATGAAGGAAAGTCCAAATAAATTTTGTATGTCTTTTTATGATGAAAGGAAATGAAGGAAAGTTTTTATAACATTTAAATTCAGAAATGGGTTTTGCAGTTTTCTTATATGATAGGTCTTGGCCGCCCGAGTCCCATGGGAGCACCCAGATCCTATGGGATAGGGAGGGTTGGGACGGGTCATGTTAATGAAGACCAAAGAAATGAAGATTCAAGTTTAGAGGTAAGCAGAGGGCACTTTTGTCATTTTCCAAAAAAACTTGATTTTGTTGCAACAAGGAATTTATTTCGCCATGGCGAAAAAGCTTTTGGAATTACTGGCATCTGGATTTCGCCATGGCAAACAAAAATTCTTGCCATGGCGAAACTGTGTTTTTTAAGAAAAAAAATTAAAACGCGTCGTTTTGGGTTGCTAGGTTTTCACCCAAAAGCGGAAACACTATATAAAGGAGTGAAAATTATTTTGATGGAGGTCACTCACTTTGGAGGCAAGAAACGTGGAGAGGAGAAGATAAGAGAAGATTCAACCAAATTGGAGAGATTTTCTTTACCTTTTGTTCTTGTTTCCATGATGAACTCAAATTTGTTTAGTTTATATAGTTTCAATTCATTTTCTATGTGGAACTAATTGTTTATCTAGGGTTTTCATGTAGCCTTGACAAAAATATTCAATACACATGATTTAATATAATTTTAGCGTTTATTTCATTGATTGAGTGTTTATTTCTATGCTTATTGTCTTTGGATGCTTGACATAAATGCGACCTAGGAGACCTAGATGGAATTCCACTAAGCTTAAGAGACTTTGAACTATTAAACTTTAATTTTTGGGTGCGGAAGGTTAATAGGAATAAGTGGGTGGCATAACCTGAGAAAGAGTGCTAAACAATTTAGGAAATTAGGTCTTCAATCAAAGAATTAGGAGCTTCGGTAGAAAAATCTATGTATTGGGTTGAAGTATCTTAGTGAAATCAAATACCCTAGAGTTTTGAACCATTTGTGAATCGTGTTAATATTGGGTTTTGTTTAATTTCTTTATTAATGGTTAATATTTGGTTAATTTGTATGTAGTTGTTAATATTGCATCAAACCAATTTTCTTTGCTTCAATTAGGTCTAAAACTAGATAAGTCGATAATTAATACGCTATTCTCGTGGGAACGATACTTTACTTCATCACTTTATTACTTCATGCGACTAGTGCATTCGCTAATATACATTTGAAATCACGTATCAATGACTTAGCTATAGACTTAGTCTTGTAGTCCTTGATAGATATGTTTTCTCAGTTCATATTAGATTTCAATAACAACAAAATGACTAAGACCCTTCCTAAACTCATCGATATGCTAGAGCCTGCGGCGCTAGATTTTGAGAAGTCTAATGGTGAGGTCAACAAAGATGGGAAGGTGGTTTGTTTCTACTATGGCAAGCTTGGCCATTGGAGGAAACACTACAAGACCTTCCTAGCAAGCAAGAAGAAGAATGCCTCTTCTTTGGGCCTTGTTTTGGAACTATCAAATTGTTATTATGTACCTTCAGTTTCGAAGAATAGTATTTCTATGTCTGTTTTGGACAATTTTGGATATCGTTTTATTATATCTAATGGAATGATGTCTTTTAGTTTAAATTGTATTAATTACGGAACTGTAAAATATATGTTCTAGATTTAAATAATAAAGAAATTTTCAATCTTGATAATAAGAAAGCCAAGCATGGTGATCTAAATCAAACATTTCTCTAAAATTGTAGGCTAGATCATGTTAATCAGACTCGTATTGTAAAACTCCACAAAGATGGAATTTTGGACCCATTTGATTTTCAATCTTATGAGGTATGCAAGTTGTCTTAGGCAAAAAGACCAAGTCGCCTTTCACTGGAGATAGTGAAAGATCTATAGAACTGTTAGACATCATTCATAGCGATGTATGTGGACAATTAACAGTTCAAACTAGAGGAGTATATTCATACTTCATCACTTTTATTGATGATTTCAGTAGATATGGTTATATCTATTTAATGACACATAAATCTGAATCTTTTGACAAGTTCATAGAATTCAGGAGTGAAGTACAAAATAAATTGGGCAAGAATATTAAAGCTATTCAGTCTTATCGAGGAGGAGACTATTTAAGCTCGAAGTTTGGAGAATACTTGAAAGTATGTGAGATAGTTTTACAACTCACACCTCCATACACATCTCAGTGTAATGGTGTATCTGAAAGGAGGAATCGAGTCTTACTTGATATAGTTTGTTCCATGATGAGTTTTTATGATCTACTTGTATCGTTCGGGGGTTATGCCTTGGAAGCTGCGATTCACACACTAAACCATGTGCCATCCAAATCTGTAAATAACACTCCATATGAACTATGGAATGGGTGAAAACCCAAATTGTCTTATTTGAGAATTTGGGGTTGTGAAGCTTATGTCAAGAAATTGACATCAAATAAGCATGCCCCAAAATCTGACAAATGCATATTTGTGAATTATCCTAAAGAAACCATGGGATACTTTTTCTACCATCTATAAGAGCAAAAAGTTTTTGTTCCTCGAACTAGGGTCTTCTTGGAGAAAGAATTTATTCAAAGAAGAACAAGTAAGAGAACGGTCAAACTCGATGAAGTTTAGACTCCATAAGATGCAACAGTCAAAGATGGGATGATGTACCACCTGATATGTAGGTACATCGTGATGAGGTTACTCCACATGTTATGGAACAAAGTGAACCACCTCAAACTACATTAGAGTCGCATAGATCTGTCAGAGTACGTCATGAGCTCGATAGATATGGTTTCCTCGTGACTCAGCATGACAACGTACTGGTATGATGATGCTGTATCGAATCTAGATTAAGCTAAATGACTAGAAGCCATGAAATCTGAAATAAACTTTATGTACCAAAATTAAGTATAGACTTTGCTAGATCTACTTGATGGGGTAAAACTCATAGGGTCTAAATGAATCTTTAAGAAGAAGACTGACATCGATAGTATCGTGCATACCTATAAAGCATGGCTGGTTGCTAAAGGTTTCAAACAAAAGCATGACATAGACTATGATGAAACTTTTCACCAATAGCAATGCTAAAGTCCATTCGAATTTCGCTTGCAATAGCTGCATACCACGATTATGGGATTTGGCGGATAGATGTCAAAACTGTTTTCCTATGTGGAAACCTTGTCGAGATGTTTATATGACACAACCTGATGGTTTCGTTCTTAAGGGAGAAACAGAAAAGGTATGTAAGTTGCAAAGGTCCATAAATGGACTTAAACAAGCTTCAAGGAGCTAGAATATTTGTTTTGACGAAGCCATCAAATAGTTTGGTTTCATAAAAAACGAAGATGAACCCTATGTGTATAAGAAGTTTAGTGGGAGCGTAGTAGTATTCCTAGTGTTGTATATTGACAACATTATACTGATTAGGAATGATATACCGAACTTGCAAATGGTAATGATTTGGTTATCCAACTACTTCTCCATGAAGGATTTAAGAGAACCAGCTTACATCCTTAGTATTAAGATCTATCAGGATAGATCAAGTAGGTTGCTTAGCCTAAGTCAAAGTACATATTTAGACAAGGCACTGGACAGATTTAGCATGGAAGAACCCAAGAAAAGATTTCTTCCAATGTCACATGACATTTATCTCACTAAGGACATTTGTCCTAAAATGCCAGAAGATAGAGATAAGATGAGTTGGATACCATATAAGTTCGCTATTGGATTCATCATGTATGTCATATTATGTACTAGGATTGACTTCTCATGTGCGTTAAGCATTTACAGTAGATATCAATCAGATCCAGGTGAGCATCATTGGACAGCTATTAAGAACATTCTTAAGTACCTGAAAAAGGACTAAGGATATGTTCTTGGTATATAGAAGAGAAGATGAACTCAATGTGAAAGGATAAAGTGATGTCAGTTCTCGGACTAACTAGGATGATTATTGATTACATTCAAGATTTGTCTTTTGTCTCAATGGAGCTGCAGTGAGCTGGAAAAACTCAAAGCAAAGTACTGTAGTTGATTCTACAACAGAGGCTAAGTACATAACATTGTCAGATGCAGCCAAAGAGACTATTTGGATCAAGAAGTTCGTCACGGTACTTGGTGTGGTTCCCATCATTATTGAACCAATAGAATTATTCTGTGACAAAAATGGAGCCATTGCACAAGCTAAAGAACCATGGTGTCATCATCTACCCAAACATATACCCAGACTATTCAATATGATCCGAGAAATTGTTTAGAGAGGAGATGTGCAAATTAGAAGAGTAACTACGAACAACAACGTAGCAGGCCCACTAATGAAGGCCCTATCACAGCAAAAGCATGATAGGTATTTAGCTTCATTCGGTATAAAATACATAAATGATTGGCTATAGGGTAACTGGGAGATTGTTAGAGTAGGTGTCCTAGAGCCAATCAATTTATTTTGATTGACTCTAATGTATCATGATTATATATATATGCCCTTAGAGTGGTAGAAACATGACGAGGGAATCAAATGTTTTAAGTATTGAATGTGAGGTCTCTATGAGAACATGTGGTGGCCATTCTACAAACGTCCATAGCCTCACTATTACTCTGACCTAGGGCACAAATAATACAGTAAGACTATCATAACATTGAACGACCCTACTGAAAGGTAGTGACAGGTCTCGCATGTTAAGGATGTTTGGTGACAACCTGGTGTAACACTTGAGTGTTTATTGGTTGCAAGTTCACTGGACTGACCTACCAGAGGATTCCGTGCAGATGGTAAACCCAGTGTCTATGGAACAAATTCTCTTATGGACGGTGGTACATTTGATCCTAAGACTTGAGATCATCATAGTATCGTGTGTATGTAGTGGTGTGGTTTGACACTAGCCTAGGGTAATCCTATTTAGGGTTATCACTACGGTGGTGATTGGCTACATCATGAAATATATCATGGCTATGGTGGATCAACAAATGATTCATCACTCCTGGTTATAGGAGTAGTTATCTCACCGCGCAGTTTGGTTATATGGCAACAACCATAAATCTATGACCACAATGGAATTGAGTTGTCGCTCAAATTTGATTTATTCTCGATCATTAGTTTGATAACCAAACACCAAATACATCAAGGGTATGATTTGAGGATGACACTATTACTATACCCCAGCCTTAACGAGATAATAGATGATAAAATGATTAGATTGCATGGTAACCATACCATAGGAAGGTATTAGTTCTTTGCTGATCTTTACTTGTTGGGTAGCCATGATGCGTTGCTAGAGGCCAATTTTGGTATGTGTGTAATGAGACGATTAATTGGTGGTTAATTACGATATTACTCACTACCAACATTAGGGAGCCTATGGGTCACAAACATAAAGAGAATTAAATTTGGAATGTATATTTAATCAAAGAAGGGTTAAAGGGTATTTTGGTCTTTTACAAAGAAAGGGTAATTCGGTAATTTTTTATGAATAATACTTTGGGTACTAATGGATGGGTATTAATCTGTGTACTAACTAAAGCATAGTACGGGTACTATACGCATAGTACAGGTACTATGCTTTAGTTAGTACACAGATTAGTACCCATCCATTAGTACCCATAGCATCACTCATTTTTTATAGGTTGTTGCCTATGTCTATTTATTATAGAATAAATAAAATTACCTAATTATTATATAATATATATTAATATTAATTGGTTGTAATTATATTGCCTTAATTAATATTAAATATATATTAATGAAATAAAATACCTAATTAGTTAATTAATATATTTAGTAATTAATTCTAAAATGAAACCTATTTAATTCTATTCTAAATTGGTTTACAATCAAAACCCATAGAATAGAATTGTATCCTATTTCAAGATGGAATGAGATTTTAAGTTGCACTAATAAGTCAACTAAAACTAGGTTTCAAAAAAAAAAAAAAAAAAAAAAAAAAAAATTCATTCACTCAAAGTTTAGAGAGAATTTTAAAAAGTTAACCCTAGCCACTCACTCCCTCTCTAACAACTGGTTTCCATCTTTGATTAATCCCTGTGATTCTTTGTGTGGATACTGCAGCGCAATTATGCACTTGAATCAAGTTGCAAAGAATTAAAGAGAAGACGCCTCTAAGCGAAAGTAAATATTTCAATCCTTGAATGGATACTAACTTGTAAAATAGTAAAATCACTACCCGGATCCTTAGGCTTAAGGTTTAATAAAAATTTAATTGTTATTCAACTGTGTTTTCGCTAATATTAAACCTTACACTGAAGTTTGCCCTAAAGACAATTTACTATCCGAAAAGTTTGAAAACGACAATTACCCACTTTCTATTAATATTTTTCTGTTAAGTTTAGTTGAAGAATGATAGGATAACAAATTCAAACTGGTCAAAGAGTAATTATGATATTTTACCCTATATATATATATATATATATATATATCTTCTTCTCATCACCATTGTTGATGCTGCCGTCAGTCGTTTGTTTCTGGTTCTTGCCAGATTATTCACCGGAATCAACAGAAAATTTTCCAAGATGCAAGAAGATGGGACGACTCGTACTAAGAGAAAGTGTGATAGGTGTGAAGAGGAAAGCTAGTGGTAAAAGAAGAGCAAGAATCAATAACAAGATAAACATAAATGGATATGGATGAATGTTTGCAACTTGGGGTTTCATTAATAGAAAGAAAATGAAAATATTTAGCAGGGGTGGGAAAAAAAGCCTCAAATCAATGGAGAAATGCATGGTTGTAAATGGTTATAATAGCAAAGACAAAAAGAGGAGCACTTACAGAACTGAAACTATATTTATAAGCACTATTTCTATTGCTGGTGATATTTGGACAAACAACTTAAGCATGCTTCTCCCTATTTATAGAATTAAGTCGCTCAATTTTATTCATCGAGGAAATTATAGAGAAAGTGTCATTGCATAAGGGTAATTGTCGAAGTTTGTTGGATTCTAGGGAAGAATTCGGCAAGAACCAGCAGCAAACAGTTGGCAGTGATGCCGGCAGTGGTGATGAGAAAAGGATGGGAGTAGGGTTTTTTTGTTTACATATAAGGGGTAAAATGACATAATTATCCTTTGACTGTTTTTGAACTTACTATCCTATCCTTCTTCAGTTAAACTTAATGGACAAATATTAACGAAAAGTGAATAATTGTCATTTTGAAACTTTTCAGATAGTAAATTGTCTTTAGGGTAAACTTTGTGTGGGAAGATGTCGTTCGGCCTATATATAAAGAATGATAGGTGTCTAGTTTTTAGGCCTATGTTATAGTTTTTTTTTTTGTATATAAAGGTTTATATGTTACAATATTTGATATGATATATAGCGTGTTTGTTTTTTATTATCAATGAAATGTGTCCATGAAAAATTATCATTAAAGTTATAGAGTCATTTCAAATAAGATTAGTATACCATTATTTATAAACCATATTATAAAAATTACAACTATATATGCTATACAAGATACAATAGTAGCGCTCTTATAAAAAATAAGTTTGTAACATTTAGAAAATGCAAGAAATACCATTAGTGGCGTATAGGAAATGAAAGTTTATTGCTTTATATGGACATGTTTCAGAAAACTTATAGTATTTTAAAAATCTTACGAAAAACTTATCTATAACATTTTAAGAATTTTACAAAAACACTAATATATAGAATTTATAGAATGTAACCATAAAATCATTGGTAGCTGTCAATAAATGCTATAATAAGCTCAACAATAGTATTTATTTATTTATTTATTTTTAATGCATGATCTGAAAGTGCATTCATAATTTTATAACAAAATAATTAGTAACAACTCTTCATAAATACTACTAAATTTTCATATTTTTAGTAACTTAAGTTATCATAAATTACTCATTAGTGTTCCGTTCACTTTTGGTAGCACTTATTGCATGTTATTATAGATCATCTTTTTTGTTGTAGTGTACAACTTTTAGCAATATTGGATATTAAGACTTGTATTTAATCTTTTATATATTTAAAATTAATTAATCAAAGTTAATAAACATATAATATATAAATATAATAAATAATCCAACAAGTAAAGTATTAAATTAGATCATCATCCCTTGAATTTCGTATAAAGGTAGATTAGAATAACATCCAAGGGGTACGTACAAGGGTTAGCTAGAAAAAGATTTAAAGGTTAACAAGTTAAAAAGTAAATGTATTACCTTATATATTTTGATGTTTGTTTAGTTAAGTATTATAAGGTAATATCAAACATCAAATGGGACTTACATGCTAGTATTAGCAACGAATATATAAGAAACAAATAAGTGTATGAAATACAAGAAAAGAAATAACTTTTTGATCTACAAAAATAAGGGAAGAGGATGAAAGACCGAGTCAGATAGAAAATGCTTAAGCTTCTCGATCTTGTTTAAAAGAATTCTATAACATCAATCACTACATGAGATTATTCCATTGCATTACGCAGTAACATACAAAAAAAAATTAAAAAAAAAAAGAATAGAGAGTTGGATCCTAATACATAATTCCTTAATTATACATATACAAAAATGCTCAAAAATCACAAGGACGCCTGATCCCAAAGTGATCAAATTAAGAGAAGAATTCATTTTACGTTTGGATCATAGACGACTTGTGGTTATAGTTATGTATATATAATGATTTGCAAGTTAATGAATGGAAGAACAGAATATTTATGAGTTATATATATTCTCTTCAAGCATCTTCAGCAAAAACATTGAGTATGAAATCTCGAAACCGCCTTGAATATTGCCTTGGATCAACAGCTGAAATTGAAGTGGGATCATAATGGAAAGATTTATATGCATGCTCCAGCTTCTTGGTAATGTCGTAATCTTGAAGTATGTCTATGATTCCAAAGAACATTATAACTTCGTAATATTCTCCAGTTGCTTCTCCTATCAGCTGAAATTCACATTCATTTCTTCTCACTGTTCTTTCCACAAGTGCTGGCATATTCACACCCAACCTAATACTAGCCCACCTGCAATACTTAGTGTAAAGTTAATATATTTCCTCCACTTTCATTTTATATTTTTTTCTTTTATTTTGGGAATAAACACTTCATACTTTGAGATAAAAAAGATCTCTAAACTTTGAGATTTTAATCTTTGATTTATATGCATCATTTATTTCAAAAAATAAACATTAAAATGAAGGACTTCAAATCTAATATTAGTACAATAGAGAATATATATATCAATTAGTTATTTATTTTTAATGGAATTAAAATGGGGTCTTTTTTAAGTGTTGAGATAAAATCTGAGGATTGATTTATAATTTATAAACAAAGACTTAAATTACCTTGCTGGGTCGAGGAGAAGTTGATCCATGTCTACTCTAGAAAGTCGAGGAATAACTGCTTCAGTACTCTCAGGATCAGCTGCAACAAATTAATAAATCATATCAAATAGATAAAAACTTGATCACATTAATACATTAAAGTATATAAAAATAATCAAAAAAATTATCCATTAACAGTCTTAAGGTGCGTTAAAAATAATAACCTGCAGGAGTTGGAGCTCCAGAAGGAATCAATTCCCCATGTACAGTAGTTTGTCTAAAGTGAAGACCTACTAGAAGACTATAGTCCATAATTCTCTCCTGCTCCAGAAACTCGCAATCTCTATCAATTTGTCTGAAGGAAGAAATAAAATAATAAAACCAAACTTAGTTAATTGTTTTGACAATGAGTTTATATAAAATTAATTAAGAAGAAAAGGGATGATGACCTGCAGAATTCTTGAAACCAAGACTTGTGTAGCCTAAATATGAAATTAAGATCAAGGTCTTTAAGAATAGTGTATTCATTAATTTCTGTATCGGGCTTGTCTGTTATGCGACCAAGGGAAGATCCTTTCAAGTCATAGCGTCTATGAATGGTATATTCTGAACAAAACAGATTCCCCATAATGATAAATCGTACCTGAATATATTACCAAAAAAAAAAAAAAAAAAATTGCTTAATCATATATAATAAATACATTTTAAAACAAAATATAGGTGATTAATAAATTAAGTAATTTTGTATAAAATATAGGTTATTACACTTGGAAGACGTTTATTTTAAAAACTAGAAGAAAAATGAAAGATTTTAAAATAAGTGTTTTACAATTGATAATAACAATAAAAATATTCACATATAATTTACCTTCCTCTGAATTGGGCCAGTTAACTTTACAGAGTGTAGACCAAAAAATTTGGTGACGAGAGTGCTCTCAAAGGCTCGAAAATGATTATAGTAGGCTGGAAGCATTCTTAAAAGGACCTGTATCATGATAAGAAAATGTGTAATAGGGATTGATTTTGGCTTAAATTACAAAAGAAGAACAGTTATATGATCAGGCAGCTCACTTTTAGTTCGGACTTCTTTATTGTTTTGATCATGTAGCGATCATCATTGGTCAAGTAAAAGAAGCTACCGCTTTTACCAGGAGATGAAAGCTCCCGCAGGGCATCGTTTCCACAAATAGATATCATGTAATCAGCTGGGTCCACCTTGAACAATTTTCTCAATGTCCTGAAAACCGTAATGTTGATTGTTGATTATCTCTAACATATATATTATCACCATTAAATATGTCTAATTAATTTTAAGATAAGGGGCTTACCTGAAGACTAATGGGCAGTAATCTTTCCATTTAAATTCACAGGATTGATGTGGTGGAGTGTGTTTAGTTCCCTCTGGTGGAAATTTTGTCCATACTTTTTCCTTTGGATCGAAAGCTGAGGCCTTTAAATCAAAGGATGCTGCTGGAGCAGGTCTTCCCACTGAATGCCTATCAAATCACTTCAACATATTTAATCCATAATAAATAAAAACATTGAAAGGCGAAACATATAAAAACTAAAGCGGTTCAACATATTTAATTATAGTAATGATATGATATTTTACAACTTGAATCCAATGGTATATATGTATAGTCATGTAAATTAACATCTAGAGAACTATTCTATAAAAGAAAAGAGAATTAATTAGAAAAGTTATGAGTACCTGATTCCAAGCTGCAAATTAAGCATAAGGTCATAATTTTTATGGCCTTTACTTATCGTATCTCCTTGTCTTTTTCCAGGCCTTGGTAATCTTATTGGCTCTAAAGTATTCCTAGTATGATCATTTTGATAATTAACATACAAATCACCATCTGAAACCCTCCCGGGTAAGGCATTTTTATCATCGCCATCCCACATTTGCATTCTATCAAGTGGCCTCTCCACACCCACACTTACCCTCCCATCAACTGAAACCCTCCTTGGCTTATCATGATCCCCTTTTGAAGAATGCCACACTGCCAATTTCTTTTGTGATGGCATCACTGAAACTTTTTCTCCATGGGAAATCCTACAATCCAATAAATCCACATTATAAATATTCTGAGGATCCCACTCTAAATTTCTCTCCAACCCGGATTCCGAAGGAAAATAATTCCCATTTTGTTCACTAGGATCCTTACTCCAATTTCCCACATAAAAACTCTCATCAGGCCATTTAAAAGTCCCATTTCCTTTTGGTGCACCATCTTCCCAAAAACCATCATATACATTCCCATTACTCCATACAAAAATCCCTTTCCCACAAATTAGTCCTTGTTTCCATTCACCAACATAAAAATTACCATTCTTCCAATGGTATTTCCCATGCCCTTCTTGAACTCCACATCGCCATTCACCATCATACCAATCTCCACTGGCATATCGTTTTACACCATGACCATGTTTCATGTTCATCAACCATTGCCCTTTATAAGTATCCCCGTTTGACCCAGTATATGTACCATTTCCATCCATAAATCCCATTTTAAATTCTCCCTCATAAGTAGCCCCTGATGGCCAACTAAACCTTCCTTTTCCCATTGTTTTCCCTTTATACCATTCTCCTACATACATGCATCCGTCCACCCACAAATATTTTCCTTGTCCATGAGGGAAATTATCGTACCACTGCCCCATATAGTAGTCTCCATTTGGCAAAATCTTTTCAACATTGTATGTCTCTGCAATTTTTTCTGTATACTCATGATCGTTTTCATCGTCGGCATGGGCCACGGATATCGTCCCAAAGATGCTGTTTGCGCGCTTTCTCGCGGCCTGTGTTTTTCGTATCGTGGCCTCCCATGCCTTCGCCATGCTGCTGCATTGATCTTTGCTCATTGTGCGAAATCTTGCTATTGACTTTTAACATGCCATATCAAGATCCAATCATTTTGGTAGTATCATAACATGGGATATTGGATGATAAATGTTAGAAGAATTTGAATAAAAGAAGAAAATATAACTTCAATAAAGCGATTACGGGGTTGTGAAGTAATGAAATTGTTGATAAAAATTTATCAAACAAATATGTTTCAAAATTGCAGCAACATGTAGCAATCAAACAATACGAAGAATTCAATTTTTCTCTCTCAATGTCTTTCTGTTCCCGTGGAAAAAAGCGAAAAGAGCGTCAAAAACTAAAGGAACATTAAAGCTGGAGTCAAATTTTTAAACACTATTTTTCAGTTTTAGAGGATTATGCTATTTTTACTGTGAAAGGATGAATATTTCACACAATTATCACGATGGGATCGGGACATGTGTCAATAATTAGTTAAATTTAATTTCATAATTCTCTCATGTCTTATTGTAATTTTTAAAAATAATAATGAAAAATAAGTATATCCAAAATAATATATTATTTCTTGATTAACAAAAAGTTGATGGCCCAAAAAGTCCGAGGAGCATTTTTCTGTTTCTTTTCTTCTTTTTTTTTTTTTTTTTTTTTTTTAATACATTTGAAATGCCTGACATTTGGAGGGATAAGCGAAATCAAGGCGTTGCACTTTTCCTATTCTTAGTGATTCCCTAACAAAAATGGATACATCTTTTGGTTTATATTTTTTTTTTTCCATTATTGTCTAATTGTCGTCCTAATTATGCTTAGTTCTTTTATAGATATATTCTATTCGGATCTTCAACATTAAATATATTTAGTGTGAAAATCAAAATTCAACTATCAATGAGTGCCCCATGTCAGGGTGAATGCACTGCACGATCAATAGATGTGACCTATTGTTATTTGAAACTAATTGTATTTATTAACTGTTATGTATAGGATATTCATGATAGATTATCAAAATTTTGATATTCATATTTTCATAGACAATGATCCACACTTGATTTGAACTCAGATTTGAGCTTTTAAAGGTTTATGATTTGTTTTTAAAGAATAAGAATATATTACACAAAAAAAATCTCAACCATAGATAAATATAAATGCACAAGTGTGTCATGAAATCCTTAAAAGTTCAGGTGAGCTCACATCAAGATAGGGTCCTGATCCATTTTCATCTTACTATAAAAAGTCTTATTAATATCCTTTAAAAGATGAGTGTTCATGTATTAACTTTTAATATTTACTTATATACATTTATGGTTGCATTTAGTTCGATGAATGTTTTATTGTTGAAAATGTAGGATTACCAATAAGATAGATTACCTTAAAAATTACTGGGAATGTTTAAGAAAATGTGTTTGGTTGAATTAGTGGGTATAAATAATTAAGATGTTTGATTGGGAAGAATAAAATATTATCGACAAAAGTTTTTACTAAATTGCCCTTCCTTTTTAATATCATAATAATAATAATGATATTATTATTATTATTTAAAAAATTACTTTTAACCCCCTATATTTGAGAAGTTAGCTAAAACACCCAACAAACAGTTTAACAAAATACCCCCAGCCACCTAAGACCACTGTCGACCACCACCGCCGAAAGCTGGTGACAGTCACCGAAACAGCACACGACCTGTGAGATTTGGCTGACTGTGCACCGTTTTGGCTATTTCTAACCAGATCGAAGGTCGAAAACAGGTAGGTTGTCATGGAGCTGGCTGTTCCAGCCAGATTGAAGGCCAAAAATAACCAAATCGTCGTGGATTTGGCAGAAAATGGCAACAAACAACTAGATTTGTTTTGGCTATTTTCGACCAAATCCACGGTAATTTGGCTATTTTTTGCCTTTGATATAGCCAAAAACAGCCAGATCAGCGGACGGTCGGCTAGATAATGCCGGTCGTGCATCGATCTAGCAACTATTGCTGGTGGGCGGCGGTGGTGGCTAGCAGCCAGCAATAGTCTTTGGTGGTTGGGGTATATTGTTAGCTTTTAATTTTTTTTGCAGCTGGGGTGTTTTAGCTAAATTTTCAAATGTAAGGGGTCTTGGTGATTGTTATTTGGTAGACATTTGAGGGCAATTAAATCCGAAATGGTTTTTATTTAAAGGCAAATTTGGTTAAAAATAAAAAAAAGATAACCCTGGTTAAAAAAGATTAACACCCATGGACTAGGTAATCTGATAACCCTCAAAATTACCTACAGTGTTCATTATTGAGAATGAAATATTCCCATAATCTTATATTACTGTCAAACCAAACAAAGGAATGTCTGGAATCAAAGATAGATAATAGGAGTTATCTGCCCACAGCCCTAACCAAACACAGCCTTTGAGTTATGTTATACATGGTTTATATGTTTGGATAGAGTTTCATACATAGAAGAGATCATAGATGGGATCCTTATTAATCTTTATTAAAAATTATTTGTGAAGTTGGATACTCCATTTAGTTTCATGACTTATCATGGTCATTAAGATGGAGATTATTTTAAACGTGTTAATGCATTTAAAATGCGTTAAACATGACTTAAAAGTAATACTTGTCTGATCAAACTATTTCCCTTGATTCCCTAAGTTTACTTAATTTATTTGCTAACTAGCAACGGATGGTGATATATTATCAATAGGATAACACTTACACACCTACGGAACGCAGAGCATCTAAAAGCTATGACCAGTGAGAGCTCTTGGGCGGATAACTAATTAAAGCCATTTCTTGATTTCCAATCACGTAATGAATAGCTTTAGTTAGAAGACCTATGTTTTTACTTTAGTTTTATTTGCTTGGTCTGTATTTACTTAGGCCAATGACGAGTACCACGGGCAACCACAATGTTAAAACTAGTCCCCGAAAATAAAGGCGGCCTTGAATAAATTGAGTAGCAAACTCTGGCCATAAATGAAGACCGAGACTAATTTAAAGGCCGAGAAACAAGGTCTAAGTCATACAACTATGAGTGGTTCTCGAGGTACAAACTACCTAACAATTTTTTTATTTATTTATTGATTTTTTTTTTCGGTGAAAGACGGCGAACCTAAAACAGAACAATTAAAGCATAAATGCTACGTCTAAACAAAGATTGCGAGATGAAAACATCCCTAAAACATCATTCCTAAGGAGTATATCAATACCAAAAGGAGCAGACTCAAGGATGTCAAGTCCAGGAAGGTTACCTAACAAATTTTTATATACAAACTAATGTGACACATTAATTATAAATATTAATTAGCATTTATTGAGTTGACTTTTTTGTACAAATTCATCCATTCACTTTGTAATACATCACTTTGTATAAATGATTTTATATAAAGAATTTGTACATATGTAATATTTAAGCCCTACTAATTTTTTAAGTAAGCTCGAAATTATTTAATATTTGTAAATTATAATTTTTTTTATTAATTGAAATTACTTACCCTCAAGTATACATAAACTTTCTTTTATCTATCCTTCTCTCTCAAATACAGTTAAAAGAGATTCTTAAACCAATAAAGAAACATAAGCAAAGTAATAAATTTGATTCAAAAACCAATGTAAAACAATGATATAAGAACGTTGGAAGCAATAAACTCTTCTTCATTCATTAGACATTGGCGTATTAATTGCTCCAAGCCTAGGAAATTGATTGGTTAATTAAATTGACAAAAGAGGAGAAACAACGGGGAAATTGATTGGTTAATTAATTTGACAAAAGAGGAGAAACAACGGGGAAATTGATAAGTTAATTAATTTAGCAAAGAGGAATTAAAATTGCAGTAGTTAAAAAATTATTTATGTCAAACAATCTAACATTCAATCGACAAAGAATTATTTTCTGCAACATCTACAAGTAAAGTGTGTATGGCCCAAAAATCATACTAGACATTGACAAGTCCAATAACTAAATACTCCCAGTGCTTTAGCCCAATTCTAGTTGGGCTTAAATCCATCTTGTGGATTGACCATCATATGGGATATCTCACTTTGTAAGAAGGTTCATTCTATGGACTGGTCCATTCTACAAGCTAGACCACACCACGAGTCAGCCTTCTCCATGAGCTGGGCTACTTTATGAGTTAGGTCTCTCTACGGTCAAGGCCACCCTACGAACTAAGTCAACTTATGTTTTGGGTCACTCCATGAGTTAGGTTTTCCTATAGATTAAGTTAAATTGAGCTCCAACCCATTAGCCCACGTTCATCCTAAAATAGGAATAAAAATCCTATCACCTTCCTAATTCATTCAAGATCTAGAATCTTACATGAATTAGTACTCTTAAACCGATAAAGGGAAGGAACAAGAGTTCCTTCCTAAGTTGAACTTTCATACCAAGTAAGACTCAAGCCTCCTTGTCTCACTATATAAACATGGGGTCAATCCTCTCATTATTCATTCAGAAATAGCCTAAAGCTTTAGCTCTTAAAGTTGTTGCTTTGAAGAATCATCGTCTCTCCCGTCGTAAAGCTTAGTTCTGACTAATTTTACCACCCTTAGCCTCCCTAAAGCTGTACTCCGATAACCCTTCCCACTCTCAACCCTCACTAAAATACATTCAACCGTGCTAGCCTATGGTAGACACCACATCGATGTCCCCCAAGCCTTCACGTTCATTCTTTCAATCCATTCGATTGTCAGTGACTCGCTTCTTACAAAATTTGTCCTTTTGAATCAACCGTAAATTTTACCATGCGAACGAATTGAATGAGCGATGATTGATAAAAAAATTTGGTTGGGTCTAGTTTGTTTTTTGAAAACCTATAACTAGTTTTTGTGGCTTTTTTTTTTTTTTTTTTTTTTTTTTTTTTATGTTTATGAAGTTTGAGCATAGCAAATGTTTCGCAAAATAAATTTTAAGCATATTAATGGGTGGTTTATGTAATTTCATTTCATTACAAAATTATAATTAATATGATCCTTACTTAACAAATTAGTGGAGCTTGAAAAACAACACTCATAAAATATTGAGTGGTGTTATTTGAGCCCCATCAAAATTATTTGTAAGCCCTAAAATAATAA